CTCCATTCTGAAGGAAATGAGAGGACGTGAAATATTCAACCTTCCTGGGTAGACGTCACAATAAACGCTGGACCCATTCTCCTCAAACTCGGTCGCGAAACAAAATGGCGGCGTTTTGGTGTTATTTTCGAGATTTCGTCAACGCACAGAAAATCGAGGATTTAACAGAATCCAAAAATATTTTCGCAGAAGTGTTTCAAATAACAAGTAGATTCGTTTTAGCGAAAAAAGAGTTGGGGGTTAGGTGCACTTAAAGGTTTTCAATTCGATTAATCTGATGCTGCGATGGATGTGGTGATAGAGTAAGGTAAGGTAAAGTCTGCAGGCGAGCCAAGTGGCCCATCAGGCCGGAGCTTATCCCGGTTTCTGTAGCATGAAGCGACTAGGAGTACTTCTACGCCCCCCTGGATGGGATGCTAGTCCATCGCAGGGTTACCCCCAGCATTAAGTTCGCCGGTACCCATTTATACCGGACCGCTCGATCCGGAGACGTGCGCACTAACCATGAGGCCACCGCGCCTCCGGTGATAGAGTATATTGTATGAAACGAGACAGGATGTTCATCACTGAGACTTGTCTCTCTTTATAGGGAGAGGAATACAGAGAAGCTAAAACCCACTAAAATCCTACTGAAACCCCTCCAAACGCCATAAAAACACAAGTTATACAAACAACAGGACAGGAAAGTCGATTTTGTTATTTTTTCCCCTATTTTGAACTATTTTGTACGATCGGTTTACTCCCATACAAACTCTTATAATAAAGTTGTTACGCAATGTCATGTTGACGGTTCCCAAAGTAGCTTGGGCTACCTGTGGAAAAAGCCCACTCTTTAGCAGAAGCTGTGCCATGTGACAACAGTAAATTTGTTCCGAAAATGAAACAGTAGCTCCAGTGTAAAGCTATAACATTTAGAGCTTGAGTAAAACTCACCTTTAGTATGTCAAAAGGTCGCAATCTTGAATCTGATGAGCCGGTGGAGTTCTCAATTAGAGGAGTTTTAGCTCAATGCGAACGACCTGAACTCGTCTCTCCTTCCAAATCACAATAAAATCCCGGTACGTGCACCGCTGTGGTAATGTTTTGACAGCCATCACGTGAACACATTCCCGCTTACACGTGTTGACTTTTCAAAGATCACCTACACCCAGGGAACTCTGGGTAATTTTCGAAGAAAAAATCTCGCCATAAATTTTGAATTAATGTCGAGTTTTTTGGCAGAAAATAATGTTTAGCGAAGCAAGGCCCAGGCCTCGGCTCGTTTCAACCTCTCGACTTAAGCTCCGTTGGAGGGCGTTTCGCCTGATAAGTTCGTCTCCGCGTTTGGTTCTTTACACGTAGCTGTCGTTCGCCGGGTTTTCTTGCGCTTTTTCGCCCCTGTCTCCCCCTCCTTTTTTCTCCATTCCTTTCCTTACCTCCTCTTCCACCGGTTTTTATCAGTGTGACTCGGTGCAAAGCGCCTCGCTGTGGTAGCGGTTTCCATAGCAACCGTCTAAGCAACTACTCCCTCTCAAGCACCTACCCCCCCAACTCGCTACGGGGACCAGACCCTGGTGCCTCGACCCTTTGCATCCCCTGCTACTCCTCGCCGGTCGTCGCGTAGCGCAAACATTAGCAGACTCCCAGATTAGGGTTGGAGGGTTATGGGCTCAAGCTAACTCAATATACGCACACTAAGCATGAACGAATTCTTTAATCTTCCATGATTTATTTCATTATTTTATATAATTACAATACTTTTATTGCTTAAGCATTTAAATTTACTTTTATAAACGCAAACTACCTTTTAGTAGGTCGGAGAAAAAAAGCTGCCCACTCCAGGATTCGAACCGGCAACCTTCGAACCGACTTCCGATTACCTGACTGAAACCTTACCACTTCGCCATCCTGCAATCACGGTTAGGTTGAAACCGCTAATTGCACGATTGATGATTATCGCGCCGGCTTAAAAGATTCGCACAGCGAGCTAAAGCGAGCGACTACGGATTTAAATGGCTGTTGTTTTCTGCTGAAATCATTCAAAATGCTTACCTAATGACTTGTTTTTACTGGCCATGTTATCTATCATGGATATTTTAGATGCCGGACGGCGCGTATTCTTACACGTAAAGGTCATCCCCGAGGGACAAGTACTCCGGTAAATCTCGGCCAGGTAGCTTCCCCCGGGTATCTGCCGCGAAGAGTATTAAACCCTGACCCTGTTTAATGCTAGGAATGGGTTAAGGCGGGACCTACAGCGTTTATAAGGCCACTAGGTCAGTAGTCTCTAACAGAACAAATGGCAGAGAAATTTCTCCATAACAAATTTACCATACATCTTTAAGTAAAACAAGTCCAAGTCCAGTCCGCATTCTGAAGTCCTAGAATTACCATAGTCCAGTGACGTTAATTGTAATTATCAACTCGTCTACCTTCGCGTAAAATTTGTTCGGTTTTTTTCGTCTTTTCCATGTCTTCTTCATCGGCAGAAAACCCTTCTTCGGCTATTTTCAACTCTGAAAATCCTACGGAATCTCGAAGTTAAGGATTTCGCTGCGTCCAAATCTACCTCGCCAGCGAGTTCGTCTAGAAACTATTTTGCTTTGTTTTCGTTGATAATCTCTATCCTGACGAAATCTTTTAGCCAGCGCAATTGAAGGCATTATGCCTTTCCTCAAATATGCTATAGTCTTGACTTTAATTGTTCTGGTTCATGGCTAACAACAGCCTTTATTGTCAGCTAGATACAACATGTACAGCAGCCATTGTTGTCAGATATATCTTGCAATGCTTTATGGGTAGCTATACCGTTGCGACACGGAATGCACCTTCCCGCCAAATCAACTCATTTTATAAGTCTAAAAGCAGGTCAAAACATTCACACTTTCGTAGGCACGGTGCCTACTGCTTGCCATGTAGCTCCCCAAAATACCTTTTTTGAGCCCTTGAAGTGACCTGCTTTTAGACCTGGTCTGTTTTGGCCTGACACAGTCGCAAACCAAGATTTGATCTGTTGGCGCTTAAGAGCACCCTTGGAATCGCCAACTGCCGCAAACACTCAGTTCTTCGAATGCTGCATGTCAAGTTACCGATCGCCAGACTTAAATGATGTCCTTTGACCACCAAAACAGCTACTGAGAAAGCACTCTGCTACCTACACGTTAGTAAGCTTTCGGTACGAGAAACGAACTTCTTTAATTTTAGTTCAATTGAATAAATTCTTCTCAACATATCTTAAAAGAGCGTGAACGAGTCAGCTTTATTTCGTTTCTATAACATTGTAAGTTAAGCATCAAGCATAGGACTGTTTTTCGTTAAGCTGGGCATTTATGCACTGGAATTTTAGCTGATACAATTTAGGTACCCTATCTAAGGATCGGGAACACAATTCCAAAAGGGGTAAAAATGATACCCTATTTGAGGATAGGTAGCCTAAAACACCATACCCTATCCGGTGGCACATACCCCTAGGATGGGGACACTCATGTAAAAAGCACGGGGGTGCTCGTCGAAAATTTCGGAAGAAAAACCGTAAGAGGTGCCAAGATCCTGTTTTGTGGGCGTGGCTTGTAATTTTGTCTCCCCCAAGAGATACCAATTCTTACATAGCACTTTATCTCCTGCCATATTTTTTCTGCTCAATACCCTAAAAAGTACCGCAAAAGCTCCCCGCTGTGGACCTTTTGAGGCTAAACACCCTAAAAGGTACAAAAACCTCTTTTTTGACTCCTAAAAGGTACCAAGAGCACCCCCGTCATTTTATATGAGAGTTCCCCCTCCTCCCTTTCTATTCCCGCTCGATTAGCCTTCGCCATATTCGTGTAGTGTAAATTGTAATTTGCGATTTTTAATGGAATAAATAAACTGTATTCTCTGATTCAAGGAACTTTTTAGTGCAATGAAGGAACGAAGATGTTTGTAATCAATCAAGTCTTAATTTTAAGGACAGAAACATCTTTATCAGTTAGCCTATGGACTCGATAAAGTAATTCTAAAGGATAAAAAACGTAACAAAAATGTGGATTTGGTCTCATTTGATAGAAATTAAGTGGATTATAGTTATTTACCTGTAAAGCCGACTGTGTGAATAACACATTCAGTTTTTTTGTTAGAACTCATTACAGTCGTAACGATCAAAACAGCATAAGTGTTCCACCTAAATAACCTTAAATATTATTTGTATCACGCAACATACACAAACTCGTTAGAATTTTTTTGACAAGCCTTGTAAGATGTATAACATGAGTCATGACCGTTTCAAATATCGCGCGCTGGCTGGCTTAAAAAGCCTTTTTGATTAAAACAGCGCTTAGTCATTTTCTATCTTTTTTTGTCCTGGCTATATTTTAAGTTCCTTGCAATTTTTGGAAGCTTAGTTTGAGGTAAGTTTTTAACATGTCGTGTTTTAAATTTTTGCTAGTTTGGCTCCTTTTTGGGGTGGTACTAGGTGTTATTAGGGAGAAGCCAACAACCAATTTCAAATAAAATCTTCCTGAAACTGGAATATTTTTGGATATTCAGGTAATACGATATATTTTCCTCACAGATGACTGACTTTCACTGATAACAGCGAACTTTTAGTTTCATTGCATAATTTTCATTTTAATCCAGAGGATTATCCGTTACTTAAAGTAGCTCAGTCACGGTGTTTTGTCTTTTTTGTTTTTTTGGCCACGTGAAAAATCTCAGTTCAAATGAAAGGAAACCTGACAATAATAGTTTACTAAGATAGAAAAACATCAAAGAGATAATAATAAAACATAAACGAACAAGGATGGTCAAGAATGACGAAGATTGACACGGATTACAAACGACGAATTTGAAAAATTGAGACTAAACTTTTCAAACTGTGCAAACCGTGACTGAGCTCCTTTAAGTAGACAGAAAGTAGCTTCGACTGAGAATGGCGAGCAGACAACAGAAACTCTCCCAGCTCTGTGCAATAAACCCAATATAAACACCGTAAAATAAGTGAAAAAAAAAAAAAAACGACGACATTTTCTTCCATTCACCACATTTTATTTAATATTTAGTCTACAGTACACTTATTCTCTAAAAATAGGAGCTTTTATGCAAACGATTCTTTGATAGGGCTTCATCATACAGTGTTCTCATCACTGCACCAAAATATAACCCATGGCTTTGATGTGTTTGCCTCCATTATCTGAACTCGAGTGATCTATAGCCTCGTTTCCACACGTGTTGGAGTCATCACGATATCCTCCTGTACCAAACCCGATTCTCGAGTCAGGAGTGACGCAATTGTTTTCGTTGTTACCTAAGAAACCTATTCTTGCTCGTGCCGAGTCCCGAGCAACACCTGCAGCATTGAAGCCTTCCTTGTTACACTTTCGCTGTAAGGAAGCCTGTGAACCAATCAACGTCTTCCACGTGTTACGACCCAGTGAGGTGGCGCGGTATCTTCCATCAGCGATCAGTGAGTACAGAGAGTTGGCATGCCTGTTAACGGCCATGAACTTGATCTGAGTGCCTATCTTCATACCAAGACAGATCTTGGAGAAGGGAGTGTTCCAGTAGGTCGGTAACTTGGTCTCTTGAAAATCAAACCCAGTGTGGCCACCCGGACGGTTAAAATCATTCTTGTTGGTCCAGACTGGGGAATTGTAGTGGAAGGTTGACTAGTTGAAAGGAAAGAAAAAAAGCACGTTTTCAAAAACCTGACAACGTTACTGAACTCTCCTTTTGCCTTGTTCACCTACCAAGCAAAACGGCTAAATAAACCAGGATGTTTGCTTTCATCTAGTTTTTTATACCTTATGGCCATCAGTTTTCATGACCAGTGTCCATCCGCCTCCTCCGCATGCGCCAATACTCTGGTTGGTCATATGACAATACACAGGGATCTTTCCAGTGTCAGTCTGCAACATGTAGGCTTTATTCACTCGGACACTGATAAATGAAAATAACTTACTTTAGGTTCTATCATACAAAGATTCTGTGTTTTACTGCTTATCAATTCGAAGTCAGTCAAAGTTATCCTTGGAGAGGTTTAAAGTAAATCTTTATTTTTGGACAATTCATGATCAGATCTCTACCTTTATTGCATTTACTGGAAGTCCATGACAAAAATCGATCAGTGGTTTCTAGCTGCGACATTTGTATTCTCGCTACCCACATACAGAAGCTTCTCAGTGCCTCCCCACTATTTTAGTGTCTTAGGCCTTGTCAGAAGCATGGTGAAAATAAACGTGAAAAACATTTGTACTGTTAACTTACCCGTTGTCATACAGTTCCTTGCAAGAAGAGGCTGTAATGAAGAAAATTCAACTCATATAAAGCACTCTTTACAGAAAAGGGACAAAGAAACGATAGAATGAAGAGCCAATGAGATCTGTTACTGCAAGTTTACCTGGCGGGGGCTGCAGCGACATTGAGATGTTTTCAACCAGTGCGTAGAGATTTTCCAACTTCGTTTCCAACCTCATTTCCAAAGTCTTAATGGCTGACCAGACATCCGTCCCATCAAACGTGTCAGACTCGGCACCTGATCATAAAAATCACATGTACGTTAATTGCTGCTCGCTATTTAAAGGTTTAAACAAGAGATTTAAACCGTTCGATACATCGGCAAAGTAAAACACATTTCTGAAAGTACCTTGACATAGCCTTTCCATCTCATCCAACTTTGCAAGGACAGTCTTGCAAGTTGGCCTTTTACCAGCGTTCACGAAAATGGTGAAATACACGAGACAAATAACTGCAGGGAATTTCAACGATACCATTGTTCAGTTTTAAAACCGAACGATAAGTAAGGCTTTCAACGACCACTGATAATTAAAAATTTGAACAATCCATTCGTTTATAAACCCTTTCATCGATGCTTTACATTCAATCTATTTTCTCCTTTCACAAGCCTAGAGGTTTTCTTCCTTCTTCCGTTGAGAATTGGTAAGTCAATCAGTTCTCAGCTAATGATTGATTCTTGCGTTTGTTACAACCAAACAACCAATAGCAAGCTAGCTCAGGATTATCACGTTTTTGAAGAGAGGTAAAATAACCATAGATACTCGTTATAAATTATATATTGAGTATTTACGTTTTTGTTACCTCCCATTAAGTCAAATAACCTACGGTATGTTTGTTTTGAAATAGCCGAAGAGCGCAGACAAAAAGCTGGTGAAATAACCATAGCTACAAAATTTCTGGTTTAGAAAAGCTATTAAGCGTTAAAGTAATTAGTTTCACCACCCGTTTAGAACCTCTGGTAGAACATTCTTGGATTAATTTTCGTTCTTAAGCTTGTAAACATCGAAATAGCAATTTATGGAAAAAGTCGGAACTTCTAAGTGAATTGCAGTCCGTCTTCTCCAAATTGTTCACCCGTAGGTTTTGTTGCAAACGGTTGAGTTTTACATTGCTATCGTTGTTTCTTTTGGCTGGATATTTTCAGGACATAAGCTAATTTTTAAAGAGGAACATTTTGACAAGCTTT